AAAATGTTTTACCTATAAGAAATTATTTCAGGCTATGCGTTGACTGGTAAATGTCTGTAAAAAAGTGCACTACAAAATCAACTCCGATTTGACCTCTATATAATGAAAGATAAAGTATTTTTTTATATTTTTTTGACATCAATCTATTAGACAATAATGGATTAAACACACGGTTACATTTAACTGTTACGGTACTCTACAACGATTAGTGAATACAAACATCTTTTAGGCCATAATATAATTGTTGAATGGGAACTACGACGATTAACATCCATAGAGATATTGGAATATTGTTCAATTAAGGTGAACACACACGTATCTGCGTGTACGCGTTGACTTATAGACAAAAGAGGAAGGTCGCCGAATAAAGAAGAAGAAGAAGAAAGGTCGTATAGGGGTAACAACCTATTTGTTCTATCCTATAATAAGCTTTTAAAGACGTTTATAGCTGAAATATTGGAATAACTATAAATACATATTTAGATAATATCATATACGTTGCTCCGATCCCACAGTAACAATTATACTTGTGTTATAGAAATCGGAAACAACGACGGTACCACAACAGACAATACAGGACCGTTTGTTTTTCTACATTGGCCTTGTCGACACCATGAAAACCGATGCGCCAACCACTCGGCCACAGAGGTCGTCAACTGTACAGTGACAATCTGTAAAGTGAAAGTGTACACGGATCTATGTGAGTTCACCATTAGACGCAATGTACATAGAACAGGTAACGAGCGCCTACACTACTCACGCATTTACTACCCAACCAGAATTAAATACTTTACTGCCCAATAATTATGATTTTTGCATATTTATTTAAAAAAATCCTTAATTAAAAAAAAAGGTGAAAAACAATCCTGAATTTCCGGATTTAAATCGCGTATATTTGTTTTTTCAAACAAACTTGGTGTGTTTGTAAAAACAAATATACGCGATTTAAATCCGACAACTTGGTTTCATTTCCTATGTGTAACAATCGCGAAAACCTAAGAACTCGATAACAATCTTGAATCCTTAAACCTTCTGGTTTAAGGATTTAACATTAGTATTAAAAAATTTTCAAAACCTTCATTAAATCTTGGAAGAGTTGTGAACTCTCCTTACATATATTATTTCAATAACTTAAAAAAAGTCAAAGTTATTATTCCACTTGTGTGTACGTTTGTGTAACCACAAGCAGAGCTGCTTATTACAGTAATTGTACTCTTATACGATGCATAAATTACTGACATTGTGTGCGATTTGCGTGTAGTGTGGTTTACTGCGAACACGGTCTACTTCCTTTTCTATGAGCATGGCGTCCTACACTACAGAAAGTCAAAAAACACCATGGCATTCCCATTGGAAAATAGACCACCTGGAATAAATTCAAATACTTACCTGTGAATAAATCGATAAATTAATCCGGCAATCAATACGCACCATTTGACTTCCCAAATTTACAAAAGTTACAACCTTCTTATAACATTGCTGAAAAATTTGCCTCTCAAAAGTAGTCTATTTTTCTTGGGATCGAGTCTTACATTTACGGATAATAATGATCGACACTTAATATTAAAACACTGAGATAAGAATTCAAATATTACACCGACTAATTAAATACATTTACCGGTTCTTAATTACTTTCCTGTAGTTTCTGTTTGCGTATTTGTGAATAATCGTGCTTTGCGTTCCTCTTGAACAGTATCATGAAAATCATCTAAACATGTAGATTGTTGACTTTATGTTTGTCTGTAGACTTACAACGAGATAGGCTGTCGCAATATGAATACCATTCTAGATTTAAAAAAGGCTTTCGTGGTTATTCACTGAATGATAATCACTTACAGGTTTCTTACCACGATATGAGTTCTTTTTATTTTCCCGATATGTCGGAACGGTTAGACGCTCCATAGTCACTGGTTGATTGGTCTGCGCCAGACGACAACTTTAAGAACAGACATACTAATCTACCCTCTTTCTCTGTCGACCAGATGAAGAATCCCGGTGAGATGAATTATTATCATCGGGACGAAGCAATCTGATGACTGCTTTCATCTCATCGAGATTTTTCGTCTCGTCGACAGCAAAAAAGGTAGACGAATATGTCTGTTCTTAAAACTGTCTCCTGCCGCTGGCCAGTCAACCCGTGACAATGGAGCGCGTAATCGTTCCGAAATATAGATATAACTCAAATCAGGGTAAGTAATGATAATCATGAGTACCATTCAATCCCTACATTTGAATAGGATATGTTCGAACATTTGTCATTGGTCTTACGTAATGTATGCCAAGTACCATTAAGGTTCCCATGCGTAGTTCAATTTATTAACCAATATCGGTAGGTAGAGTTCCATCGTTATCGCATGGTAGTCGAATCACGTGGTATGTCCTACAATGCACTCCGCTATGATATTAATATGATTATATATCTAATAAAACATCAATTTCTGTTAATAACACTACATATTTAACTGTGACTATTCTAGTTTTTTTTGACATTTTTGTTTGCTTTGACGAGTATTTGTTTTAACGAGGATTATGTTTTAATATTATTGATAAATTTATATGTATTCAGTTATAAGTAACAATTACGTCACTATTAATTGAATAATATTGGTGTATTATTATAATTCAGGTTGATTATCCACGCGCTAATAGAACATTGCGGCAGTTTATAGGGCGTAACACACTTATTTGAAATTGCGTGCGAACTGAAGTTGATATTTATCCCGAATAATGTGATAGAAATAGAAATTTCAACTACCTAATGGAACCAACAAACCATTGGAATGTTTCGACGAATCCAAACCGCATAAAATTTCAATAAGTTTGACGTTAGTTTTGACTGTCGACGTTCGTTATTGAATTAAATTGAAATTTCATGTGATTTTACACAATTTATTTACAAAGAAGGCTCATCATATACATTGACGATACTATGTATTAGTCCTAACAATGCATCACATGCCGGCACATACTTTTTATACAAGTCTACCCATAAATCACAGCTCCACATTAAAAATTCATACCACATTTCATGACCGAGACAATTTACATGTACAACCTTTATTATCTACTACATTTAACCATAATATACTTTAAAATAGCTCCTTGAAAGAGATTCTACGAATTCAAAACTTACAAGCTGGAACGTTATGTCTACAAGACGACAGAACAGAGTCAAAACTATTTATTAATCAACTATCGTTTCTTATATTTCGATTCTGTACCTGAAACTATTACAATTCAGCATTAAACATGAGTTTCAGAACATCTTAAAATAACTACGTACATACCAATTGATATACTTAATCGAATTTATATAACTACATACGTTATAATATAACGTAGCGTAATATAGCGAAACAATCTCTTCCAAGAAACAACGCACATTTTGCATTCCCTATCACCACTAATTGTTTAATAGTTTAGCATTTTAAGGTACATTCACTTCAGCTTTGGTTTGGTACGTAACTTTCTTCTTATTGTTTTTCACCGAAGGCTTACGAGTTTCGCTTTCAATGCTTATTTCGCTTATTGATTCAGAGTCCGGGCAATATGGTGCGTCAGCGCAAAGGTGTCGCTCGACGCATTGAATCGATTCTTCGTGTGTTGTATGGTTCAAAGTACGCATTTGGAAAGCTTCTCCTCGTTCGGGGTCACGGCGCCCGCGCACTGAACGACGCGGACGGTCGCGGCATCAGGAGCATCGAGCGCGCGAACCACGTGATCCGCCGCCGGCGGCGCGGGCCTGATGTCACAAGCGACACATCTCGTGTGGCGACACCGACGAATACATCATTGTTGAAACCGGATACTGTAATGCATAAACACTAGTCAATACATGATATCAAAAAGTCATCTCTTTCCTGAAAGTCCTGAAATAATTGTTCTTAGACTATACTAAGTAGTTGATTGGGTCGGATTACCTATAAATTGCATGTTGCAGATGCGTTGTATGAAACGTGAATTTGGGACGAGTTGCTGAGAATGCAAAATTGTTCTGTGTTTGTAATTGCTCAGTGTATTGGACACGCTAACCTGTTTGGTGCGCTAGGTTCATAGCTGCGAGGAACCTGCTGTCTGAATTATTTTAATTATGTTCAAATCAATCATTGAAGTTCATTAAAATCGGGTTTTTTAGGATGCGTAATTACTAAAGCACATTTTGATTATAGTGACAACGACGATCATGCATACATACTAATATCAAATTGGAATAATGTCATGTTCAGTTATAATGAACATATAATGTGTACAATGTGACGTCAATTTAGTGCAATCGTTACAGGATAGGTATAGAACATAACAAGTTAGTATAAAAGGTACACATAGAATGACGGTTATGGATATGGATGCTACGTAATACTTTCAAATGCGCAAAATAATGCATAGAAATATCAGCGTGCGCTTAGTTAACATACGAATACGATATGAATGATTTAATGAATATAATTTTATTCAGCTCTTGTTTGGTATCAGAGAGTTCAACGACGATCAAGTAATATAACAATATGATGTTCCATAAGGGTACAAGATATATTATAACACTTAATAAAGGTACCAACCAAATTGTACATGCAGCAGGAAATGTGTAATTTACAGTAAGAAGATACACATAACCTAATTGTACATCTAGATATAATGTTGCCAATTCGGTAAATAATAATTGTTTTATATTTAAAAGTGCGGAGCGAAATAGGCGCATGCGCGGTGACAATTTTTCGTACACAGGGCGTACAAGGAGAAAGGAAACGATGAACTGAGACGCCAAGTGCAAAAGAGACTCGGGGACACAACACTGAATGACGGGGACACACAGTCGGAAGAAAACAGACATCGCGTTAGGCTCACCTAGCGCCGCCGCTCACTGATGCTCGGAGAAGCTAGATTTTAGATAAATATTTAAACAATATTTTTAGATTTTAGAAAACTTATTGAAAAGATGTAAATTGAAAGCAAATTCCGAAAAAGAACTTAGAAAGTTGAAGAATTTGTGATGGATGAAAGACGGAACAGATTTAAATGTAAGTTTGCTCGCAGGAATTTTGACGGATGGACTGTATGCCCACCAACTCGCTCGAGCTAAAGTAGCGGCGTGTGGTGCGAAACTGAAACGAAAAATAATTATTTACAATACTATAAACAGTCGGTAGTCTTGGACTCTTGCGTTTGTCCTGGTCTTTCCTTCAGCGTATGTACAATGTTTGGTTACATATTGTACGTATGTTAATATGTCTGCAATTTGCCGTTATGACTCATTTGGTATAACACCGTATGAAATTTACTCGTAATTTAATTAAAACTTCTATTATGAATTTATTTAATCGAGTTTATGCATATAATCTTTTTGTATTAAAACTAGAACTCTATTAACTTCACTTACCTGCGATTGCTTGAAGCGAAGTTGTGGTTGGTACTTGCGGCGAAGAGCACGAGGGCAACAAGCGCACAAGATCCTTAGAAATGCTCTGCAACAATGCAAAAGTCGGTTTAACCAAATTACATTTCACGCTTTATCGAGTTAAAAGGCTAACTTTTCGATGACTTGGAACGTAGCGATTAAATTTAGAGAGGAGTGCTAAATGGTTTGTGGGTTGGCTGTCGATTTGATGAACTCGACTTGAAGATAATTAAACCGAGACTAAACATTTCGATTAATTGTTTAGAGGGTGCAAGATAATTTAATAATGCCTTGGTGAACTCGCACTGCTCGGGAGAACACCGCCCATCGTCAAGTTGCGTTACAACCTCAACTGATTCTGAACCGAATACTATGCAATCTACAACACGGTAGGTCGGTAGCTTCAGAATACTTGCAACATGCGCTCGTGTCTACACTATTTATTAAACGTTAATGTCGATTTGCAATTATCGATTCGTCATTCACGTAGTTGTCAATGGGAGCTCAAACCTTTCTTAAGGGAGTACGATCAAATGTAACAAATTGATGGCCAAGAGCCAGAGAAAATTATTCCCTAAAAAAATTATTATCAAATAAGATATTGAAGTCCGGTCGAGGTGAAAACTTCATTAACAATGTACAATGTAATTCGCTTCCCCCTTCAATAGACTTCAGGACCTTCGATTAAGCTTTAATTAAGTGGCAGTTACAGATCCCGATAATAAGTGGAGGACATAATTTTAATCTTCTTTTGTTTTTATTGCCTGTCCGCCTCAGGATTAATTGAACTTCGAAAATGATGTATGTAATCATTATTTATGTATATTTATATATACCAAAATTATATTTTAAATTCCAAAATAAATTCTTTCAACTTAACATCAAATGAATGCCTTTTGGTAACAAATTCCAATACTTTTGAACTCCCTAAAAATTTCCCAAACACAATTTTGTCTATTTATTTTTAATGGGGCACCACTTACGAAGTATATTGACGCCTCGAACAATGGAGCGTCATTGTATGGTTTATGAAGTAAAGAACTTCGAACAAATAGTTTCCGATTCCCCGTAGCTTAACATATTTTTTACTGTAACTAAAAATGTTATGCCTTTATATATCAATTTGTTCAAATGTATTAAATATGTATTCAAATACGTATATTTACGTACTTGGTTTGTATGTGTTTGTATTTGCACGGAAGCACGTATTAGGTACATTTACAGCCATTTGAATAACGTGTCCTATTTGTGCTGTAACATAACATTTCACGTTAATCGTACATCATCATGCATGCACTTTTACCGGTGAGAGTTTAGTTAAATAAAAATATAATTTTGTCGTATTTTGCTTGATGTTTCCTTCCAGTATGCGTGGTGTCCAGGCAAGTTATTCGAGTTATTTTATCTGTGCAATAAAGCTTTAGTTGTTTTTATAAAGAATACCGCTAAGTGAAACATTTTAAAAACAATTCTTATTTTGTATAACCTCTCAAGGACCAGATTTTTTTCTATAATAGATGTGGATATAATTTCGACACACAAAAGGATATCCAGCAAACAAGTATTGTCAATGGTTCAAGTTTCGTCTTTTGTTAGCAGCGATGTATTATTAAAGCCTTAACTACTCGCCCTCTGCTTACTTTGACAAAAACTTTTCACACCCTTCTTATGTTATATGTACATCTTCGGAAAGCCGTGTGACTCTGATATTATAATAACGTTCAAAATAGATATTATAATGTTATTAATACACCTACTGTTATATATACTGTTATATATACCTAATGCTATATTTTATTAATACGCCTTGTGATAATCAGGCACTAGTATCGATTAAGTGCTTCAGTATCCCGTTTAGGACGTGGATAGAGGACTGGGGCCTTAAATCTTCCCCTTACATTTTTTTATTTCATTTAGTATAAGAACAACCCACACTACAATATTAGCCTTAAAATACGTTTAGCACTGTTTGGATAGGCCAATTACAGGTATCCACTAAAATAATTACTGACAATGGACGTAAAATACTCATAATAAAAACAAAAATAAATATTAAACAAAGTTAAATGAAATTAAATAATCCAGTCTAAGACAGCAAAAAAGAACGTTACTTATGTAGAGTAAGGTTGCGTTAGTCGTACCCCCCGAGAAAAAACAGCTGTAATATTTAAATTAAACAAAACCCTTAACGTCACTAACAGTAACGTAACAGTGCTAATAAAAAGAGATCATAATAACAATTAAAGTTTAGAAACAGGTACCTACTAAGGTGGTTAAAATCAAATAATTCTTAATATTTTTGAAGGGAGAGAACAATCCACTTTTGGACGCATATTTTCAGCCAAATTTTTGTATTTGACTGTATAGAATACAAAAATACTGTTATGATCGAAGAAACAGTTTTTTTTATGATGTCAGGTGACGGGATGAATAAATCTGTCGAATAAATGGCATGCGACACGCCTGTCTATACCATCTGTTATGTTATGGATAGTGTATGTCTGTATATGACTGTCCATAACGTCTGTTATGTTATGGATAGTGCCACTCAGAGCTTTAAATCACAAAGATAGATAACCTACTCACTCATAGCCTCGCACTAGAAAAACCCTGTGTCGCGGGTGCCATGGACACACACATAGAACACCACAAACTACACCCAAATCACGAGAGAAATAAATGTAGGCCACACAATTATTTTTACAGACCTCAGTGGCAAACCGGGATAGTAACCGTTCGGCCACAGAGGCAGTCTAACGGCGCTAATAGCGTTATGTGAAAGTTTCAAAATGATTTGATGATCGACAAAAGTAAACAGATTCATTGTTCTCGTGTGTTAATATATATTAATTAATATAAATAAATTCAGTCACAAATAGAAGCCATTACAAAGGTCTTACTTCGTTTGTACATTTGTAATTGTTTTTGTAATATCAAGGGACGAGACGAACAAGTCGTGGGCCTGGTGGGAAGCGACACACCTGTCTCTAACAGTTGCAATGGATTCGTCCGAGTCGGGAGGGCAGTGCTACTGCGCCCATCACCCTGAGACATATGTTGACAAGTCCCATGTGCCTGTAATTTCACCAGCACCCCCACCCTTCAAAACCGGAACGCATTAATGCTTACATTACTGCTTTGCGGCAGAAATAGGTAAGGTGGCAATACTTCCTAGGACGAACTCTTTCACAAGAAGCTCACTGCTACTAAATTTTTCGAGCTAGGTGATGCCAGTTTATTTTGAAGTCTCATATTGAACAGTCAGTGTGAAAGAAATAAAGAATCTCGACACCACCAACTTTAACCAATAATATCTATGACGTTTCTGATGGAAAATAGAACTTCGGATGCACTTCCAGCACGATCATGAGATGCATTAATTGAATCAAGAAATAAATTTTAGGCGAATACCCCATTAACAAGAGAAATATTTCCTGTCACATTACGCCGCGCCGGCGAAGGAGAGGCTAAAAAAATTACATGTTTTAATTTTTGTAAATATTTTTATAACGTAATCCTGTTAGAAGAGGGTGGCGGCGTGAGTAACATGAAAAGAGAAAATGTCGGTGTCGTGTTTACCGCCCCGCGGGGATTCTGTAATTCAAGGATATCTTGGTATTTCATAAACCTAAATAATGGTTTCCGTATAGCTTTTATACCGATAACATTTATCGAAAACGCTAACATACAATGAACGAAATAAATATTCTTCATTGCACATTAAAATTACAGTAAAAATACGGAACTGTAATTTCAGTACAACAGAATAAGTCAATCTATAACAGGCGACATTTATTTATTTATTTATTCGTGGAAAACCAACAGCTTAACAACAAATTAAAAACATCAACAAATACATTACAGCCAATTAAAGGTTTTCGCTTATAATAACATAATGACTAAACAACGAGCACTTAGAAAGTGGTCACAGCAAATAAAATTATTATGTAACAAATATATATATATACATATGCATGCATGTACGCAATGTAAATCATATATATCCCAATATAACTTGAGTACTTAGTAAGTCGAAATTGAGGTCAGTCTACTCATATTTTTATCTGATTTAAATAAAACGAAACAGATCGAGACTATAATTTAACGTAAGGAGTTCGAAAAGTTGACTAGTCACTATCCAGCGCTTGAATTACATGAGATAGTGGTAAGTTAGATATGGGACTATAGAAGTAAAACTTATGAAAATGAAAGCAATGGCGCGGTGGCAAATTGCGTAGCCAAGGGCACCGGGAACAAACACCGAGGAAAATCGTCTCGCAATCGCGAATACGCGGATGTAATGCGTGAAAAACAGATCACTTAAGAACTCACAAGCACTTTATTCCCCCTTATCACATTTTATACAGTCTAGTGGATAAATTGCCAGCTATAGCACTCCTGTTAATAGTTCTTCGTAATCCTATTAGTCGGTAGATGGTTGAGCTTAAAGTTTTATCAACGCTCCACGTATTATTCGCAACGTTCTTATTTTAAGATAAAGTGACGTATAGTAAGATACAGTGCGATTATTAAGTATCACTGTCCATTGAATTGTAAGTAAAGTGATATTGCAAAATATTGTATAGTGTCTCGATGTCTCT